TTTGCATCGCTGCGGTACACATACTGTTTGATTGTCTTGTTTCAGTTACATCTTGTTCTCTACTATTAATTATTAAACAAAAATTTAATTGTAGAATTTTGTGTATGCATGATGCAAATAAGAATTTATCTATCTATCTACCCACTACCAATCGGTTAGTTGGTCTCCCTGATAGACGCCAATAATAGCTGAGGCTCTGCTTGCTTATGCTCAATGTGTTCATAATCAAAAAGTAATTTAGAAAATAAATGAGTGAACTGTATTAAAATAGGGTGTCTTTTATTACCTATAGGAAAATGTTGAATTGTAAAGCCGACCACCGATACGCATTATTTTGTCATCTAAAAACACGTTGAATTTTAAGTGTTTTATGTAAAGTTTAGTTTTTTAAGCAACTCGTATTAGGGAAACCATTTGCCTGACTATGGTCATGCTCTTCAAAAAAGCTAAAACAGTGGGACACGCTTTTAGTGTAAATTAAAAGCGTGTCCCACTGTTTTACTGGTTCACTTAAAGATTCGTGAGCACAAAGGTTCTTGTTCAGTTGGTCAATTAACCGTTTGAGAATAACAGACGTTTCTTTAGTGATCACATCAATATTAAATAAGGCTGACACATGGTTTTGTATAAGTAACCGATTATTGTCGTACTGCTCGCACAAAAGATTGAATGACCACAGTAGCGGATCCCTCCAGAGAAAGCCCTCGAATAGTGAAACTTATTTATTTCAACTATGTCGTCGTTAGAGTAAATATGGCTAGTAAAGGTATCATGAAACTCAAACTTATATAAGTACACCGTCAAATGACCTTTGATTTTGATTATTTTTCTTCACTCATTTTAATAACTTGGGAAAATAGGTGACGTCAACCTGGAATTTATACAATCCAAGATAAATAATAAGATAATTATTGCCCAATAAAAGTTTTTTAAACACTAAAATTAAAACAATTATATTTTAACTGTTTATATTTAACGCCTATAACTGCCTATCCTTATAATACTATGCAAACCGAAAAATAGAATTTTATATTTTAATTGCCTATTTTCTTATTATCAATAACCACTACCCAATCAATAATGTGCTAAAATGTAATTATATAATTTAAAACTTAGACATTACTCAATAGGTTAACTGTAAAAATGATTTACAAATTTTTATCTACCTAATGTTAGACTACGATACTCTTTATCGAATACTAAGGACATCAATCTTTATCGATTATATTAGTGGAAGCACTATCTGTCAGTGGGTTGTCACTGTCACCTTTGAAGTTGACATCGACGGATGATGAGATGATTTTGGGCGGGACTCGAGTACTAAAAGTTGTTGTGAAAAGTTCATGTAAAAGAAAACAGTTTTATAAAATATATGATTAATCAGTAAAAGATGTGTTTAATACTAGGTAAAAATAATTTAGTCCAAAAATGTAGCTTATTTTGCAAACAAATAAAAAATAGTCCCCTTTCAATTGTTAAAGATAATCCTGAAGGTTTATTTTTATTTGACATTTTTCAAATTACTCTCATACTCTCATACTTACAAAAAAAAAATCTGTCGATTAACGTTAAATAAAACGACACATATTCAAAATATTTTTTCTTTAATTAAAGTACGTACATACCACGGCATGCATCTAACAAATAACAAATTGTTCTACTTAACATTATTAGCATCAAAAAACGCATCTCCATAAAACGGAAATATAATATACCCACAATGACATTCCATGTGCGATCTGTCACAAGGACCAAATATCGTCTCTGTGATCACGTCCAGTGACCAATACAGCAGTCATCATCAAATTCACGCATACCTTTCACATGATCTTAACATTACATTTACAAGTACAATCACAGAGTTTTACAAAATAAAAAGATATTTACAATAAATGGACGCACAAAAATTTATAACAACCAAACATTGAAACTTACAAATTATAAAAAGAGGTGTACCTATGTATTTGCAAAATATATTACCATGTTTCCAATTATTAATATAATGTTACCGCTAGCGTCTACATGAAAGTGAACAAAAATCAATGTGCGAATAGTATGAAAGAAATAGCGGACAGAAATGAAATATATATATATAATTTTTATAAAGCCGCTGTTGAAGTTTTTCGGAAAAAAGTAATTCACTGATTTATTTTGGCTTCAATCTTTTTTCAACCATTAATTCCAAATAAAAAGATTACATATATTTTATGCGTGTTTATAATTACTTCATATCATACATTTTTTTTAAGAACACAAATATTACATGCAATAAAACTATATAGATTTAATATATTTGTTTTCTAAATAGAAAGTCTCTTCAGTATTTTTATCAGACTGCCCGAACACTACACGGCATTATTCATAATGCCTGGGCAATGTGATAAATAAGGATCAAATCATAATTATATAGGGCAAACTAAATAGTTTGTCATTATTCAAATGTCATGCCTGGGCATAATGAATAATGACCTAATTTATCACTTTGTCCATAACATATATATTGGGGGAAGAATAACGTTGGTCGGTTGAAGATGTCCTCCACCGGAAGGTTACATGTAAAATGTAGCCAAAGTGAATAGCTATTAATAACATATTTTTAGCAATTACATAATTCAGATTTTGCATTTAAATGTATAAAAACATATAAATTATTATAATTAAAACATATATTTAGACCTGGGTATTATTATGGATAGCGCAATGACTTTTAAACTTCATTATGAGAAAATTGTCCAAAAATCACTCCGAAATTTAGGTTTTATAAATAGAGTAAGCAAACCATTTAGTAAGATAATTACTTTTGAAATCCTTTATTTTAGTTTCGTAAGATCAGTTTTAGACTTTGCAAGTGTCGTTTGGAACCCTTACTATAAAATAGACATAAACCGAATAGAAAATGTTCAGGAAAAATTTATTAAAATATTGAATTATCGTTCAAGAAGCTATGATCAATCATACAGAGAATCCTTAAAACATTATAAATTATTAACTCTACAGAACCGACGTAAGCAGCTGGATCTGCAATTTCTTTTTAAAATACTAAATTCTTTTGTCGATTCCTCAACGCTTCTATCGAAAATTAATTTTATAACTAAGGCTCGGTTACCTGTACGCTCCGCACGTTGTATGAAAGTATTTGTACCCGCCGCATTTTCGCAAATTATATACTGCAAATAATTATTTTTGTCGTTGTTTAAGTATGTACAATTGTGAATTCTCAGATATAGACATATTTAACTGCTCTCTTACTAGCCTTAAGTCTCAAATCTTTACTAAAATACTATAATAAACAAATAATATTGCTTTAAATTTTTACTTAGAGATAAGTTAATTGTGCAAAAATTTGCTTCTTTAACTGGTGTCCTTCAGACAACAGTTATTTATTTATACCTCTATAGAAATAGTGGACACACATTGTCTATTAAATATTGTAATTAATTTAAGTATTATAATGTAATGACTGTTATGTGTCAAAATAAAGAGAAAAAAAAAAAAAAAAAAAATATAAGCAAATACCCAATACACTTCATTTAAAAAGTGGCTTTATAAAATAATATTGATTATACTTTTTTGCAACCCACTTTTGTCTTTTACTGTATATAATGTTAATATAATATATATTAACTAGAGAAACAAATATAATAAACTTATAATTACTAATGCCTTTGCCTTTTTTATTTATTAAAAAATATCTAAAAAGAAAAATCATACGAAAAGTCTAAAAATACAATTTCATGGTTCAATTTTACCTTAAAAATACTAAAGTGCTATCCAAATGTTTCTAATTCATTTCGTTGCAGTTAAAAAGACCCAATTCTAGACTATACAATTCATGATTCGATTCTTAATTGAATTAAGAATCGAGACTATTCTTAAAATAAAACACATTTTGGACCCTTATAAAAAAAGACATACATGTTAAATCAACTAAGATTATGCCCATTGTTTTACACATAAAGCAACTATTATACAAACTATCATTCAATTGATTTTCGACCTTAAACAGCAGAAAAATTAGTTTGAAATCGCTTACTGAAACTTAACATTTTATTATACTACCTGTAATTGAAGTAAAGTAATATTTTATGTATTCTTTACACACACGTCAACTACGAAAACTTTTAAGTATATTATTACGTTTTAATATCCAAATATAAGACTTAAGTTAATCGATATAAGGACCAAATTAATAAATATTTAAAAATATACACATGTAAATTCGTTTAATAGGCAGTGACGTTGTAGTCTTATAATTAGAAAATTAAATCAACAAAAGAGGCCCGCTGAATATACTGTGGATACACTCATAATTTATTTTGTTCTAATGAAGTCAAGTCTAAAACATCATTATAAATTCTAAATCATTAACTATCCAATTAAAAGTAAGGAAAAAATCAATCAAATATCTATGAGCTTAATTCCAAGAACTTGCAACAAAACTAAATCGTATCACTATTTCTAACACCTTAAGTTCGATTTTTGGCAGTTATGGATTCGTTACATATAAAACGGGCTAGAATCGTGGCTTTTTTTTACATCGATTCTCGTTTTAGAGACATCTACAATTATTGGCTCGCAATTTTAATAAACGAAAGCGATGGTAATTAAATTGAACGTTTAAAAAATCCAGATGGATTCCGATTAGATTGCAGCAATGCATAAATTTAAATTATTAATGCATGCTTCTGAATTTAGATTTTAATTTCTAAGCATTAAGGATTAATTTTCATGTGCCGATAAGGAGGTTTAGATTCACACATTCTCTATGTGGAGACGTTGACAACCATGAAATCTGTTTCTCGTTTCTGTCGGTCGGTCATCGTTATATCGATCGACGAGCGAGCGAGCTAATCGCGCTGACCAAAGTAAAATATATACACGAATATATGACCGTAATCAACGTCTCCTGCTAATAGAATAGTTCGGGAGCACCTGCGCTAGACCATTTTTTACTTACATACTCACAAGCGCCGCAGAGTTTAGCTCTCGACGTGTAAACATTAGGAATTCAAATTGAACTCGTCCTGATTATCGATCGGCGGCCGAGGGTTGTTCATTACGGCCTCCGGATTGACGGAGTGCACCGGGGCCGGGTTCATTATCCGGTTGGGGTGCATCCTGGACAGGTCCAGCACCGGCAGCCGCAGCACGTAGTCCGCGTCCCACCGCTCCCCGCGCTCCCCCCGCTCCCCCCGCGCGCGCTCCGCCCACGGCAGCACGCGCAGCTCCGCCCCGCGCGCGCCCCGCGCCCCCGCCCCCGCCCCCACCGCCCCGCCGGCGAACATGTGCTGGTATCTGTCGACGAAGGCACACTGTATCGGGAGCCCGTCTGCGGCTTAACGTCCGAGTTATACGAGTCGCGTGGGTACCTGGCCACCTCGCAGGGCAGCAGCGGGCGCGCGTCGCGGCCCACGCGCTGCACGCACGCGCGCGCCCCCGCCGCACCGCCCCCCGCCCCGCCCCCCGCCGCGCCCCCTCCCGCGCCCCCGCGCCCGCCCCCGCGCACGCCCAGCGCCAGCAGCTCGGGCAGCCCCACGCACAGCACGCCCAGCTCCTCCTGCACACAGCGCGCCCTCGTTACTCAGTCGCCGACGGAATATCCGCGAGTCGCGGAAACATGGGTATCGCGAGCCGCCGCCTCCGCTCCCCGCGAGACATTTTAGTCGATGCATTATTATTTTTTTAATGAGGTACCTAGACTTTATTTTGTTTATGTCAGAATTTGTTTGGCCTATTTTAGTTGCAATTTTACTGTAAAACGAGAAATTAAAACGTACCGACGAAAACAAGGTATAAGGTATGCGGGACATTTAAAGGTACTTTAAAGTTTAATTTATTCGAATAAACATACTTTGACTTTTAAAAATGGTTCAAAAAGTCGCAGTTGAAGTTACCTATTTAACATTATTAAAATGTCTCATTCTTAACGTTTCTTACAGCAAACTACGTAGTATCTTATTTAAGAAAATTCCATCTTTAAACGCCGTTTATTTACAATTGCATAGTCCGTAGTATGCAAATTAAAAAGTCAATAAATTAAAATCCATACCAAATGTTGACCATCTCGTTTACCTATACCTAACGCACACTAGTCTCTCTCTCTCTCTCTGTACACTCGAGGAATAAGTGAAATAGTTGTAAAATTAATTTTATCAATAATATTTTTAGGAGTTAAGCATGTCAATTTTTTTCATAAGTACGGTTTTTTTTAAAGAAGCCATAAGATGGATATAAGTAATGCACGTCATTTATTTTAAAGTAGCAAACCCTCTTTACTCGACTCAATTGTTATTAACTCGAATTTATGTAGTAATAGTAATTATCTTATATTTAGTAGTAATATCTGCTTATTATTTAGTCAGGAATATGAATATAGTTTTTAGTCTGTTTTTTATAGTAAAAACATTAGCAAAGAACTCAATTTCAAATTTTTCTACACATTTATTGATAACTTTTTGTCCTGTCTGCTGCGCTGACGCCTTTCGTACCAAAGATTGTGGGTACAAGTACCAGGTTACCATTATTTCAAAGAGACGAGACAACGGCATTCTATTTTAAAGATTTAGAAACTGGTGGCTACGTTGCTATTTTCATAATTGTATTTTTTATTTATGTAAGGAATATTCTATCTATCTAGAGTTCGCAAATTTATGGATAAGATCTGGCTAACAGCTAACAGTATTTGTTTAACATAAATTAAATTGATTTTGTGATTATCCAGTGGGTGTCGTGTTGTAATATTCAATGCAATGAATATTATTTTGCCAAGAACTTTCTAGAATTTGCATCCAGATATTATACGGGTTCCCCACGAGTTATTGTTAATTCGGTACAGTTTCTGATATGTTTATAGAACGGTCATGGTGATATGGCACGGTGTAGTGAAAAGAGACTTATAATCTATATAAATATAAGTTAATTTTACTATTATTTTTCAACAGAAGTTTCGTGTTAATGTTTTGCATGTTTGAATATTACACATAACCAGATAAATTATTTCGCTGTACTGTGACGTAGGCACTAAACACCGATATATATGACCAATCTGGTAAACGAACGTACAAAAAGTTCTCGTATATGTATTGAGAAGCAACTATCATTGTCTTCTTTAAATTTTTCCCTTAAAGAGTCTCTAATCCTAATATCAAAAATTAATCCTCAGATTATAAATTGTGTCACGGAAATCATGTGTTATTCAGCAGCATTTCCCCACAACAAGATATCTTCGACAATTTATCAATATGTGGGCCCTACTGAAATTTAAAATCTAGTGTTATCCCTAAAAATACTGTAGTTTCCACAAGGCCCATATTCTTATCTTTTATATGCACATTTATATCTACTTGTTTATTCACATTAAACCAATGTAGCACTGATCATGTCGTCATTCAGTGGTAGCCCTATTTTAATTTTAAACAAGAGTGAAGTGTCATCTGCCAATAAAACTATTTTGTGATTATCCCTTACGAAATAAAAAAAAAACAATTATGTAAATTAAAAACATATAAGGACCGAGTATTGACCCCTGCTGAACACTGATTTTTACTTTTAATCCATGGGATCTTTTGCCGTTGATATCAACCCTCTGATAGAGTGCAGTCAAATATGAGACAGTAAAATCCAATGAGTTATCTCTAAATCCATAATAATACAGTTGCCTAATCAATGTTTAATAAAAAACTTAATCAAATGTCTTAGATAGGTCACAGAAAATACATAACAGTGTCATGTGAATCCTCCTAGGCATCAAAAATTTCTTGTATTAAATCGACACCGGCTTTGGTTGTTGAGCGACCCCTTGTAAAACCAAATTGTTGTCGATTCATAAGATTATTCTTGTAAAAGTATGTTTGTATTTCATCCAGTATAATTTTTTAAAATCTTTTATATTATAAATCATAATCATTATTAACATATGTACCAACATAGAGCAATAGATGACAGAGCTCGTAATGTTTCTACTTATGGCCACTATGAAGGTTGCAATAGATCGCGTTACCACACCAAGTACTTCGCACCCAGAAAATCTACTCTTCTTTAAAAAGTTTGTGATCATTCAGCTATACTCAAAATCGGTTTTACCTAACTCGTTCTCCAAATGGATGTTATCTTTAAGAGAACGTAGATCGCGACATCTTTAGTGAAAACTGTATTGAGTACTTTTTAAGTTATTATCTAATATAACTAGGTAATATTGGGAACTTGACAAAAATACTATAGTATAATATAACTAGGTAATATTGGGAACTTGACAAAAATAGTATACATGGTAACAATCTCGTAGAAAACTATCATTCTAATGTAAATTATCATTAAAGCTCGTTACAACATAAAAATATTAAATGAAAATCAAATGAAATAATGTTTAATAAGGAAGCTAATATTATACTACACATATACTATTTAAATTATGCGCCTCGGTATATTTCGTGTTTACGAATTTAACCGATCAAGAAACCAATGTGTATACGTCGTTTTAGCCGCCAAAACTCGTCAGTACCTCGACTGTGATGGAAGTGACAGCACGCAATATTTCAGTATTAAGAATTGTATAGAGCTGTAATACGCCAAATTACCTTATTTGACTATATAGGTACTTAATTTATTCCTACATAATTTTCAAGGTATTGTGGAATGGATACCGATTAATAAAATAATATACAACGTGTACCTTTACGTTTTAACAGAAGCTAATGTTTTTTAAGTGTCTGAAAATGGATATCTTAATAAAGTTATTTTAATAATTGTGATTAATTGATAAATTTATATTAATTGATGAATTTTGTTTTATTAAAAAAACTGTTTTACATACTGGTGTCAGAAACTTATTTAGTTAGTACAACCGATTTGTCTTAATTCGATTTACTTTAATCTGGCTTTTTCATTTTGGTATCAGCTGATGGCAAGAAACACAGTATACTTTTATTTTAAAATTGATTGTCCTAATCTAAATTTAAGCGAAATGATTAATTATGTAATAATAACTCTATACAGATATCTTTAAAATACATTAGGATTGCCGAAGCTTGACGAATATAGCCGAAGCGCATAATTTAAATAGTATATGTGTACACTTTTTTGCTATAACCCCCCCACTTTAAGCTATGGCTGACATTATACACCAAACAATATACCTTCAACATTTATCTATTTTTTATTACTTCCTGATTCACTTTTATCCTCTAGCTATAATAATATTAAATATCACTTACATTAGCAACGGGTGTCTCATTACACTCGGGGATAGTTAAAAACGGTCTCCTGTCCAGTTCATTAGAGGACTGGTTCCCGTTTGGTGTTTTATCCTTAGGTTCCTCATCTAGGGGCACGTCTGGAACTACTTGCAATTCCTCTGGTGGATTCGGCACAATTACATACGAAGCTATGATGCTCGATAGCTGATCTAACACCTGGAATAAGCAGCTTGTTTATTATCTCATCTCAGACTTGATAGCTTCAATGTTAGAACTCAGACCTTTCGCATTGAGAAGAATATAAAGCATTGTCCATAAAGTTTGAAAATTATTATTGTATAAGAATATGAGCATTGATATGTGTTAACAACTTGAGGTCGATTGCGGTTTAATGACTTCTATAAGCTCTTATAAATGTCAAATTTGTATCGGTAATGTTGCTTTAAATTAATGACAATTTTAATGGACATTGTGTAACTGGCTGTATAAGGGACAAATGTTTGAATATACAAATATTACGGGTTTTTCTCATATATAAATAAAAAACCGTGCATTGGCATAGTTAAGTATGATAATTTTTTTCGCTTTTATGAACTTGAGAGTACATCAGTCCACTTTAACACCATTTGTGAAATCGAATTAGTATAAAGGAAAGAGTCGATCCTAGAGGAAGATTAAGTAATGCCTAAAGTACGTGACGTCTGGCAATACTAGGTGTAACCGAGTAAAAATTTTGTTAGTCAAAAGCTGGATAACAGTAAAATTGTGGATAACTTCTAATTTTTCTATTTTAGTAATAATAATACTCACTTCGTCCGCCAACAGTCTATGTTTCGGGTCTTTAACCAGCAGTCTTTGAATCAAAAACACTGTATTGTCCGAGACCTGGACCGTGTTGCCGTCTCTGAAACAAATACACAGACGCGGTCACATGGCGGGCCCACTAGCGTGGTCTGCTAGGATACTGCTAGTATATTAGTACTGACGGCGGGATATTGTAGGCGGCGGCCTGGATGCGCGTGAACAGCTGGGCCAGACTGGCGTCGCAGAAGGGGAACTGCCCGTACAGCATCGTGTACAGCACCACGCCCAGCGCCCACATGTCCGACGGCTTGCCCGAGTACGGCTTGCACAGCAGCACGTCCGGCGAGATGTACGCCGGGGAACCTGACCGATTATGAGCGTTTATTGCATCATACTCACGAGCAGAGATCAAAACTAACATCGACAATGATAATTTACCCTCTCTTATTACCTCTCTGATCTTTGAGCAAATCTCTGTCGCTGCCCAGATGAGTGCCCAGGCAGAAATTAGTGACGGTGATGCGCCCTGTTCTTTGATTCAACACTATGTTACCTAACTTTAAATCTCTATGCACTATATTTCTCTGTAAAAGACAACAACAAAAAAGAATATGATATTAAATGAATCCCAGAAGTGATATTAGTATAATACTAGTGTGTTTTTATTTCATATTTGCAGTGCTCTTTATTTTGCCATATACCAAAATAATGAAGGAAATTAAATATAACACAAAAGTTTAGAATTATCAGCAAACAATAACAGAAGGAGAATTAACTGAAAAGTAAATTGCATATAAGAAACTGCCCGATGGAGCTGCCTTTTATTGTCATAATTGCATGTTTAAAGCGAATACTCACTTTATGTAAATTACCAACAACCCTAACTATGTCGTAAAATATAAGAATTGCTTCTTTTTCTGGCACTTTTTTAACTTTGGTGACGTACTGCTGAAGGTTGATTAGCTCAGAGCCTTTTTCACTAAACTGGTGTGACGTTACGCAATCCAGTACCAGGAATAATCGTTGCCGCACTCGGCCTGTGTATACGAACCCTGAACCACATGGATTTGGCACTTCTTCTAAAGCATAATCCTGAAATCCAAAATTGTAAATATCATGTAAACACAAAATCCAATTCTTTTATTAAAAAATATTTTTCTTTTATTTAATAATATATTTGTCTCAATTAGCATTGCCAAAGATTAATAATTTCCTAGACATTTCTGGACCTAGAATCAGCAGTTTGATCTCCAGTACGAGACTAAACTAAGTAGGAATTACCTAGAATTATAAGTTGAGAAAAAAAAAACTATTTTCGGAAAAATAATTGCTTTCTTAAACTGTTAAATAAAAAAAAAACAACTTTTTAAGGTTTAAATATTGACTTGAATAATTTGTCAAGCCAATATTTAAGCCTTTACATATCAACTGATTTTGTGTATGAATAAAAGCACTTATGAACTATCTATGATAAATTCTATAAATAAATAAATATTGGGTAGACTTTCATACAATACAATATTTTTGTCTTAATTTCCACTTAACAAAATGAAAAATTTATTAACCTGAAATCTGATTGTAGACCTAAATTTTATTTTTATCAGGTTTCAATAGCTAAAATCACTTTCCTTTAAAACAGTCAACTGTTATCTATGATATAAACTTTGAATGCTTACCTTAAAAAGACCATGATGATGAATTACACCATCTTGATCTTTCAACAATGACAGGAGTGAATATTCTGTATGTAACAGCATTTTTCCTTGCCTATCATCTTGTGTTTCACTTTGACTGTCATTCCTTAATGTTAAAATTTTAATCTGGAATATAACATAAAAGTAAGCTATAGTAAATTTATTAAGACATCATAGTTAATTTCATTTAATATCTCTTAGATTTAGAAAGATAATTGGCTGTAGCAAATTTTTTGAGGGGCTCTTGGTTTGCTTTTGACATTAAGTGTTTAATTGAAATATTTCATTAAAAACTTTTCTTGATTTTTAACATTTCATTATAAAAGTAACTGCCAATACAACTGTGTAGATTCTATTGACTTACAATGTGAGCATCAACAAGTGCTATCTTGTTTTAGAGATTTAACAACAAAATAATGGTACATAATGGATAATGGCTTTTCAAAAAATCATGGGCATTCTTCCAATCACCTAATATATTTTTCATGATGATGATGATGAATAATCGGAATCAGCAACTTTGCAAATCAAACAGAAAAGTCATCCTTTTTTCCATAAAACACAACAACTTATCTGTGCATTGAGTTTCCTTTTTCAGTTTGTTTTTACTTAAAAATATGAATTTAGTGGCTTATTTCATGCTAGATGGAAATGCTGATGGAAAAATTTATTTATTGGTTGTAACTTACTGAGGCTCGCAATTGGTCAGGGCTCCCAATAGTGTGGGGCATGTAGCATTTACTACTTTTGATACATGACTAATCCAGCACTAATAATTAAATTGTGTTTAAGCACATTTCAATGTTATGAAACCAGTAACAAGTGTAGATACCATATTTTGACATAGGGTAAAGCAAATGTAACAGTTTAAGTCACTTTATATATATAAAGTGACCTAAACTGTTACACATAAAATAGACATTATAAATTCTTGAAACACTTATCTAAGATTGCCAAAGTCAGGATTATAAATACCTGATAAAAATCATCAGTTCTCTCTTTCCTTGCTAAGCACTGCACAATACTTTTCACGGGACTGGGTCCCAACTTAGGACCCAGCAAGTACGGACCAGCCTTACGGACATGTTTCTCAGGAACAGGAGTGCCAGGTGCTGGCACATCACTTTTATTATATGTTAACTTTGGTTTTTTAGAAGACACTTTTTTAGAATTTTTAAAAACGCTACTGGATGACGATCCCGAATACGCAGATGCCCTTGTAACTTTCGGACTCGGCTGTAAGAGCAAAGGTCGTGTCCTCTTTCCATGATTTGAACTGCCTTCTTGCCTGTCGTGGTCCATACCGTACTGACTAAAAACGATTTCAGGTCATTCACTACGACTTAAATAAATAGTTCACTAATTTTAACCGAAGCTACTGCTGTCTACAGGGATTTTTGAGACCGGCGAAGTCAAATGTTAATGCACAATAGTACTAAAGCGAGATTTTCATCATTCTATTTACCTACCTGTCTCAAAAAATGTCGGATCGGATTTTCGACGTTTCAAAACAGTACACACGGCTGGACGTCAGGTTACAACAATATGTCAAATTTCCTCAATTGATTATTAACTTAATTAAAAAGAGTTGAAGTTTAAAATAAAGTGAACGGATTTGACAGTATGGTATTATCTAACATGCCATTGACTGTACAAATTGACAAATTTTCTCTATGGATAAGTATGACCCATAGATTCTATGTATGTCTATCAAAATGAGAACAAAGTGCACCTAAACCACTAACACTAAGTCCATGCAACATGACAACGCTGTGCTGTTGAGACCGCGCAGCAAAGAGAATGAGGAAGTAATAGGGGTTAAAGTATGAAATTGCCGATTTGTACTGAAAATCAAAATTGTTTACTTTTTAATGAGGAAGTATTAAAAAAAAACGAAAACATTAAAAAAGCACCTCCCCTAGACGGCCATTCTAGCAAAAGTTGATTTTTGCAGGAAACTAATAGACCAAATACAGTCATTTCTGTTCCTTTTAACTAACATATTAAAAAGCTGAAATTTGAAAAGTTCAAATTATAGATATCAATACAAATATGAAAAAGTACAAATAGAATATGAGTTGTTAATTGAGTTTTGAAAACTAATTTACTTTTAAACTTGAAAGAAAACCGGAAAGGTTGTCATAGAGAAATCAAGAACCATCTGGTCCCTGTCCCTGGCCAGTTGTCTGCATCATCACTGTAGGATCAACCCCACTTTAGGAGAACCGTAAGATTGAAGGTTGGGTCCCTACTGGATGATAGGGAAAAAGATACTTGTCTCCCTCCGAGCTAGGCGTTGTTAGCCCGGGGACCGCGGTCCAACCAATGTAGGTTGGACGTTCTATTTATGCTAATTGGTTATTAAACTTATTGTGGGCGATGTGGGTTTCTTTGTTCTAATTGCCTTGTAGTTATTAATTTATGATTTTTGTATTGGTACAGCGCCATCTCGTTACTTGCTGTTGAAACTTTTTGCATTTCGTCTTGCTATCGATGGCTGTGACCATGGTAGTCATCTCGCTATCGATTGTTGTGGCGATGTTAGTGCGATGAATTAGTTGTCGCTATGTATCAGTCGCCACAACTGTGTGGCGTGCGATGAACAAACGCGTATAATTTGATTGTGGTTTCAGTACTTTAAAATAACAAACGATTAGACTTCAGTGTCTTAAATAACATCATCAATATTGAATAAACTTTCTAGAAAACATAGCTGATGTCTGTCCAGGGATAGAAAATAATCCACTTGATTCAAAATGCTGGTGATCTTGAAGATGAAGATCTGTCATATTGTCCAGAAATTTTACTATTTTCTTTCACTGTTTTCCAGAGTCAGGACTATGTTGTGTGTAACTGTTGTAAGCGCCCCTTTCTTGTGTCGTGGGAAGAGTGCATTATTCACTATACCTGTTGCTTTGACAGGAGGCAAGGGGTGCTCGATATTCTTCATCCACACAACTGCCCGAAGGCTAGTCTAATGATGACAGTCAAGTAGCCTCTTTAGAGGAAAAAATAAGCACTGTCGTTACTACTTCGCTGGCGTCATGCCGAGCAATATTCTTTAGCACACCGCCACCACGAATTTCAGCCAAGGCGCCCTTATCTAAACGGTGTAGTATTTGAGTCCATAAAATAGTTGTCACCATTTTGTAATTAGAATTTTATCATTCATTTATTATATATCGGTTGTTATCCCGTGGCTCCGCATGCGAAAAGTATAGCCTATGTCTCTTTGGCCTATGTTAATCCCGTTTTATGTAGGTACCCGTAGGTGAAAGAGTTTTTAAAATTAATCCATTACTTTTGAAGCCTATTCAATGAAATTAACAAACAAAGAATTAAATCTTTCATCTTTATAATATTAGTATAGACTTAATATAACTAAAAACCATTTACATATATTATATTAATACTTAAAAAAATATCACACATAATATGTGCTGACTAAGATTGTTTTCTACTTGGTGTCCCTAATCCCTATAGTTATGGTAGTAGTGTATAATAAAATTGTATTATCGATATAGAAATCTACATCGTTATACGAAAAAACATAACCCCACCAATGTAAGCAATATTTCACCATAAAGTCGCCAGATAATGAAGAAGTATTAAAAAAACATTAGTTCCTGAAATCAAGCTAGATGTCGCTACAGTACTTTCTTAATTTTGATGACAACCCTTCCGGTTTTCTTTCATGTATAAAAGTAAATTAATTTTTAAAATTGAAATAAACAACTCACATAATTTTTTTTTTTGTGTTAGTATTGATATTAAGGTTCGCACTTTGGAAATTTCAATTTTTTATATGTTAGTTAAAAGGAACGGAAATGACTATCTTTGGTCAATTCGTTTCCTGCAAAATTCAACTTTTGCTAGAGTCGCCATTTAGTGAGGTGTTTTCTTTCCTTTTAAAATACTTCCTCATTGGACATGAAGACTACTTACACGAACAATAACAATAATAAAAAAGTTTCAGTTAATAAAACGATCATAACTTGCCGATGAAAGGTTATTGTTTCTTAAGAATTTTCTTTTCTTCCTGTGTGAGACTTGCAGACCACGATTACACATAATTTTTTATCACAGACATCCTTTAACTCCCAGGTTTTACTAACACAAACACTATTTTGAGTTTTGTTTGAATAATACTTTATTATTCGTAGTTTTTTCTCAGAGATATACCGATTACCGTGTAAATATTAATGTCACTATGATGCTACCAAGTTAAGTTGTCATTCATTTATGCAAAATTAAGAGGATATAAAGATTTTCTAATCTAGTAATGTAAAAGCTGTAAATACAGCCTGACAATGAACTTGTGACAACCTTGATAAAATAAGAAGAAAATGTGGATCGTTATGTCATTTACTCTTATTAGCAAATTTAATTGCGTTATTATAAGACAGATTCAACTTACCTTAGACACTATTCTAAAATCAACACAAACATTGAAGTTTGTTTTCTTTGATTTGATATACTTTGCTGAATTTGTGCAATGCTCGTACCATACTTTACGTGTATGAACACATATCTGGCGCAGGCTATATATTTAATCTTGATTTGCGACATGGAGTACGCTTATTCAAGTGTGATAACGAATTTTTACGTCCGTCGAAGCCGTAATAATATATTAGAAATAATGCTTACTTGCACAAAAATGTTGTGGAAAGTGCACTACGATATCAAGCTCACGATAGATGGGATATCATTTCACAGGTAAATGATTTTCTATCTTTATTTTGAAATAAAATATAACAAAAAATCACAAATTATTATTTCTGAGATGCACGTTGATGTCTACCATGCCGTCTCTTTCTGGTGCATTGATTTCTCATTAGTAGTCGTCTCTTTTTCCGATAGTACTGTACATCTACATCGTAACAAAATATATCGATGAAGTCCGAATATAGGGTATGTTCCGATATACACTGCGACCACTGAACAGTATGACGTCAATTTAGTATACTGGAAGCCCGTTCCTTTATAGCTAGTTATACTGGTGACTTTTTAAAACGGAACGCAGTCCAGTATACTGTTAATCCTATTTTTTGGCGCCATTTTCAAATTTGTTAATGCAAGGTGAATATAAATATAAAGATTCCCTCTTTTCAAAAGAAAATATTATAAAATTGGAAAATTGTATAAAAAAGTAATTTATCCATCTTATAATAAACGTAAGTATTTTTTTTTTTTTGTTTATTTAGAAACTTATCATTTTCTGATTCTGTTTCGACTGATCACGTGATCAAAAGCACTGCGAGCACCTTATCTCGAAATCTCCAGTGCTCACAGTACAAATATGGCGGCAATTTATGACGTCATGAATTTCCCTAGGGTACTGTAGCAGTGTACTGGCAGTCCATAACGGAATGGATTTTTCAGCAGTAAGACCACTGCGCAGTGCTCGCAGTGTATATCGGAACATACCCATAGTTTTGCAACAAAGTCTTGTTTTATTATTATTTATTAACATGAGCTACCATTAATGATGAAATCTCAAAAAATATTTAATTACTGAGATAAAATTTGACAACGTACAATTTTGACTATGTCAGTTAAAAGGATTTCTATGACAGGTCTGAATTATAGAGGTCTAAGTGCTTCATAAGTTTGAATGCAAATTCTTTTTGTATCTGTTATGAGATCGAAATTTGACAAGTTTATTTTGCGACAGGACTGGATTAGGGGAGTTAAATACGAAATCTATGTGTTACGTTTTTATGCCTGATCGAAAAAAATACAATTTTACGTATAAAGTTGTCTTCTTTGCGTTTATAAATTATTTATTTGATGAACCTTTGATAATATAGGTATGAGTCCAATAAAGGAACATATTTTTTGTTAGTAAAAGTCTAGAACATATATAGGTGTTATATGTTCTAGACTTTTACTCCAGACTGTTTTGAAGAAAGCATAGACGATGGTTATTCAGCTAATCTTTACCCACACTGTACTCACTCTGGCAAGTGTTCTGGTCTTTTTATGTTAATTTGATTATTAAAATACTATTTTTAACGCATGTTTTTCAATGATATTAATATGTCTAGATACGCAATACATACCAAAAATCTGAAGCTACTAAAACTAAGACGTTTGTCTTAGTTTTTTCGTTTTGCACTTCATTACTCATTCAACTCCCGCCAAGAAAGTACAAAAAAAAAATGATCCGTAAAAACAAAGAAAAACAGTAGATAAAATTCGATTCTCTTTCACAAATACACATAATACGAAAGAATATTAAGTTTCACACTTAAATCATTAACATTTTTGGCAATAAATACAAAATTAAAGCTAGGTTATAAAATAAAAATATTTAATTATTTTCAAATAAAATTTCGACATTTTGTCGTCAGTGTTGCCACTGCTATTCACTTTCAATTTTCCCAAGTATATGGGAACCTTTTCTTTTTAATTAACGTGGCTATAATTTATCTAAATATCTTTTTATAATTAATTATATAGCTCAGCTTAAGTATAGGCAACTGCGCAAATTTTTTTATTCATGCACACAGATGCTAATGTGGTTTAATTTTTTCAATGCGTGGAATAATTCGTTAGTTGTCGAGATACAACTTTTGAAAATACGTAAAATAGTTTGTTTGATGTTTTATGAACTTTGACAAATGTTTATGTCTTAACCACTAACTTTATCGAAAAACAAAGGGATATATATGCACAGAGCCTACTTTCGTAATTTTTTTTTTTTTTCAAAGTTTTTGCAAACAAATTTTCAAAGTTACAGTATTTTACTAATTGATTTTATACATAAATCTACACTACTCGTTCATTCATTCATTCATCACAATGGGTGAAATTTTCGACAGCTGGTAATACAATATCAATTACCCATTTTTCCGTTCATTCTGTCGTTCGCGCATATTCTGTCTTTGTTTAATTTAAAGTTTAAGCGTAGATATGAGGGAGATAAATATAATAAATCTATTTATATTATATAGTTTAAATATTATTTGCAAAGCTACGTCCTGATTTCGGAAAAGTGCTACGCTTTCTGGCGCGTCTGTTGTATGGGATTGCTCCTCTAGTTATTAAACTCATTGATGTTTTTACTGAATTCGGAAAATACTCAATGATGTCAAATGTAGCAACAGCACCAAAATTTATAAAATATTTTAACATAAATTTTGTGTAAGTGTAAATTAGATTAATATAACCGTACAAGAAAAATGTAAGATATAAATAACAAAGATATAGCGTTTATTATAGTGTTAGTTATATAGCTTTAATTTGATCACGGTTTTTTAACGTTGATGTTATCAATATTTTTTTAATTACAAAATTTTCGTTTTATTCGGATTTAGCTCGTTAGCTTTGAAAAAATATTTATTATTTAAATTTTATTTATTTTAGTCAAAGCAAGTTAGTTTCCTAAATAACTACAACACAATATTCCACACTTATTATAACAATTTCCAAACGTCAGTTGAAAAAAGCGTTTAAACAAATAGCAGTTTTTAAAAACGCTTATTAAAAATCGTACAACGTAACAACGCTAAAAATTTTAAGCCATTTTTTCCACCTTAAGATTTTAATCAACACCGCCGAAGCTGACCTCCATCGCACCACAAATTGGTGAGATGTATTTGTCTCAAGAATGACCAATGCGTTCTCCAATCTACTCATTGATTTGCGATTTAATCTAGAATGGGCCCAAATCTCTGCTCAGAGAACAATAAATATATAAATTGAAAGATAACAAAACAGATAAGGCTAAGCAGTTCGCGTTGGTTTGGTTGTGATTTTATGCGGGTGAGGATGACACACATACTACAAAGATTGAGTAGTGCATTTGTATATAAATCGATATTATATTCTATTAACGAATAAAAATTTATCCGATATTTCAATTAATAATTAATTATAGGAACTCTATAACCTCTATTTAATTTTCTCTTTGGCTAACTTTGACTGTCAATCAAATCATTTTGACAAGAATTTTATAACCATGTTTGTCATATTTTCTTGATGGATTTTCATGATACTATTCCTTGTGCAATTGTGAAATAGATAAATACCTGTAAAACTGTAATTGTAAATACATCAAACATTTTTCAAAAATGTGGAAGGGTCTTAGGTTAACTCAGTCTCAATTATCAAAGTTGCATTTCAAAGGATACAGTTTACAACCTGTCGGCGTTCCTGCGTTAGACACAGTGTTAAACCAATGGTATGAATTTTGTAAGAAACCGCCCAAAGGTTTCGAGAAATATTTTCAGCCGGGAACCAGCCAAAAGCAACAAAAATCGCCGGAGAAGGATGAATCTCCTTCGCCTTCAAAAAGTTCACCTACATCACCAAAACCTTCATCATCTTCCGACAAATGGAATATGAATATGTTCTCCAATACCGGGGGTGGCAGAGGTACCGGCAGAGGAGGTTACGAAGGCCAAGACAGAGAAAAATGGATGATGTTCGGTGCAATGGGTGTTGTTGGATTACTAGCTTCAATAGCATATTTCGAACTCAAATATAGAGAGATAAGCTGGAGAGATTTTGTTAATCTGTATCTTAATAAAGGGGTTGTTGAGAAACTTGAAGTTATAAATAAGAAATGGGTCAGAGTGAAACTACAACCAGGAGCAGCATTAGAAACTAAAGTGATCTGGTTTGCTATTGGCAGTGTAGATTCTTTTGAAAGAAACCTTGAGAATGCACAAATAGAGATGAGCGTTGATCCCCCAAATTTTATTCCTGTTATTTATAAGACTGAAGTTGAGGCTGCCAGCTTGACTGGTATGCTTCCTACTCTACTTATAATAGGATTTTTAATCTACATGATGAGAAGATCAGCTGATATGATGGGCCGTGGTGGTCGTAAAGGTGGTGGCCTGTTCGGTGGTGTGATGGAGTCTACTGCAAAATTAATAAACCCAACAGATATTGGTGTTAAATTTCAAGATGTTGCAGGATGTGAAGAAGCAAAAATAGAAATTATGGAGTTTGTGAACTTTTTGAAAAATCCACAGCAATACATTGATTTAGGAGCAAAGATACCTAAAGGGGCATTATTGACAGGTCCTCCTGGCACAGGCAAAACATTATTAGCTAAAGCTACAGCGGGAGAGGCCAATGTACCATTCCTTACAGTCTCTGGATCCGAGTTCTTAGAAATGTTTGTTGGTGTTGGACCTTCAAGAGTAAGAGATATGTTCTCCATGGCCCGTAAACATGCTCCATGCATTTTATTCATTGATGAGATTGATGCTGTTGGTAGAAAAAGAGGTGGACGGAGTTTTGGTGGACACTCTGAACAAGAAAACACTCTTAACCAGCTGTTAGTTGAAATGGATGGCTTTAATACAACCACAAATGTAGTTGTTTTAGCTGCTACAAACAGAGTTGACATATTGGATAAAGCTCTTCTTAGACCTGGCCGTTTTGATAGACAGATCTTTGTACCTGCTCCTGATATTAAAGGCAGAGCTTCCATCTTCAAAGTACACTTAACTCCACTCAAAACTACTCTAAATAAAGAAAATTTGGCTCGTAAAATGGCAGCATTAACTCCAGGTAACATAATAACCTTTCATTAGGACTAGTGTGAAGATTTAATAGTGAATTTTTCTATCCATCATGAGCACTTTCACCACACTAGGCCACTGTACTTATAGTTCAAACCGATTTCAGGGCTCAAAACAAGTTTAACATTTAAATTACTGACTTTAGACATCTTCAATTTAAAAAAAAACTATTTACAATTTACTATCGTTTTACAGATAAAATAAAATACTTATTTCAAGTTATTGGCCCACTATCTACCAACCATGACTGCCTTTTCATTATATTATAAAAGTATTTTTTTTTCCATTCTTTTATAATGGGCTCACTCTTTGACCTCAATCTAGCCTAAGGACATAGATGAGATAAATGGTGAGGTGAACTTGCTTAAATGGAACCTATTCTCATTGAATGCAAAGTATGATCTTTTTTGTTAGATATGCAAGATTTTAACAAGTACCTTGTAAGTACTTGTACCACTACTTAAAATTAAAACCATCAGAAAAAGTACATTGATATTAAAAATTAAGATTTAAAAAATCAAGAGAGCTGATAAATATACTTAGAAAATGTTATTCTAAGTATATTTATCAGCTATTTTTGTAGTAAGTATTATCAGTTTTAAAATACTGGTTAAAAAAATTGCAGCCAAAATCCAATTTAAAAGAAACAAGTTACAATAGGCCTTGTACTGGACGCGCAGTGGGCGCAGAAATATTAGTTCTTTTTTCCGTTCTTGACGCCAGCGGTCAGATCACTCATTTCAATGTTAATGTTTCATATTATATTATAATGAGTTCCCTAATAGAAACATTTACATATAATCACCTTTTTAGTGATATAAATGTCGAAAACGTTTTTAAATTGATTAAAACTGCAATAGATCTTTTTGTCGCGCATTCGCTGCTCGATTGGCGCGCGACGCTCGTTGACCGCTACCCCACACCGTGGCCAACGAGAATGGTTCATACAAACTATCAATGCGCCTGCGAGCGTCCAGTTTGCGGCCTTATTTTATTTTATTTATAACATTTTATTCCAGAATTACAAATACTCAAATGTATTATTTTAATTTTTGAAAAACTTTTCATTTAATATTGGTGACTTTCTGTTTGCCATTTGGCAAAGTCCTCCTCCAGCCTCTTCCACTAATTTCTGTCTCTAGCTACTGTACTCCAGGTCACTCCAGCAATTGGTTTGAAATCGTCATTCCACCTCTTCGTCTTTTTCCATTTCTGGGGGCCATTCATTTATTACGTAAGACGATTTAAGGGGGTCAACAATGTCTTAGTTTTTCTTACAAAGGGGTGGGAGGGAGTCTCGATAGTTTTTACGTACGATCAGCAAATGGGGCTGATGTGGAATGGATGTGGAATGGTCAACGACGTCACTATCCTGAATGACCAACTACAAGCAACACCTTTTATTAGAGATGTTCCAGTGGCAGATACACTTTCCGAGTGGGTTTTGAGTACCTGGACTGAAAATTTTATGAAAGATTTATGAAACTAAAGGTTTTTTTTTAAACTACCAATAAATGAAGATTATTAGTATCTTTGTAAGTACAGAAAAAGATTTCTAAAAATTATTACTTTGAAAAATAAACATTAAAACAACCAAAAACCAGTATAATTTTTTCTTTCAAATTCTTACGTAATAAATATAAAACAGGGGGGAGGGGGTCGGCCTTTTCTTATTTTTTTCTTATAATAGGGAGGGAGGGGTCAAAAACTAGAAAAAATAGTCTTACGTAATAAATGAATGGCCCCTTGGGTACCATGCAGCAACTCTTTCTCTCCATTTCCCTATTCCTCGTATCATGTGACCTGCCCATCTCATCAATTTAACGGTTTGAGATTCTCAGTGACAACATGAACTTTAGTTCTTTTCCTTATTATATCATTTCTGAGTTTATTAATTCTTTTTATGCCTAATATACTGTACTCCATTGAGCGTTGGCACACTCTTAAAGCGTTGATATTTTTGTTGGTTAAAAACCAGGTTTACATCAGAACAGGCAATATAAATATATTAAAAGATTGCGGCCTAGGGGCGGAGCTAAATAAAATAAAAAAAAATCACTTCACAATATACATTGTTATACAACGTGTTACAGTATTAAAGGCAGATTATCATTATGTTCTTCTGAAAATCAAAATGTGTTGGCAAATAACAAATCAAATTTCTTATTTTAAAAAACGGGTTTAGAAAATATTGAAATACAAATATACTGGCACATCTGATTTTACTCGCTTGATTTTCTGCATTACGTGCACTATAAACCTATAATCCAAATCTTCAGTATTTTTTTTTCTGTTTTCAGGCTTCACCGGTGCCGATATTGCAAATGTGTGTAACGAAGCAGCTCTTATCGCGGCAAGAGAGCTATCTAACAACATCACAATGAAAAACTTTGAACAAGCTATTGAGAGAGTAGTAGCTGGGATGGAAAAGAAATCTAACGTCTTACAACCTGATGAAAGGAAGATCGTTGCTTACCATGAAGCCGGTCATGCTGTTGCTGGCTGGTTTTTACAACACGCAGATCCACTCCTAAAAGTATCTATTATACCTAGAGGAAAAGGTTTAGGTTATGCACAATATTTACCTAAGGAACAGTATCTGTACAGCAAAGAACAACTCTTTGATAGAATGTGTATGACACTCGGAGGCAGAGTCAGTGAGGAAATATTCTTCGGTAGAATCACAACCGGGGCTCAAGATGACTTGAAAAAAATAACGCAAAGTGCGTATGCGCAAATTGTTCATTACGGTATGAATCCAAAGGTAGGGAATGTGTCCTTTGAAATGCCGCAACCCGGAGAAATGGTTATCGATAAACCTTATTCAGAGAAAACCGCAGAACTTATAGACTCAGAAGTCAGAGATTTGATCAATACAGCGCACAAACACACTACAGATTTGCTCGTTAAACACAAAGAGAATATTGCTAAAGTTGCAGAGAGATTACTTAAGCAGGAGATTCTTAGTAGAGACGATATGATCGAACTTTTAGGACCTAGACCCTTCCCAGAGAAAAGTACTTATGAAGAATTCGTTGAGGGCACAGGGTCTCTAGATGAAGACACAACTTTGCCCGAAGGTCTCAAAGACTGGAACAAAGAAAAACAACCAGCTACACCTCCACCGGCCAGTATACCCAGCGGTGCTGGTGACGCTAAAAATTAAGAACTTATCATGTAGATTGTTGAGTTTTTAGTCAGTTTTATGTGAAATAAATATTTTAATTACCTTTAAGACTTAAAGGCGATTTTGTTTATTAGTGAGTTGTGCGATGCGCGATGTAGATTATTTCGTTGTAGGACAAAAATCTGGAAATAACTTTTTTTCAGTATTCACAACTAACAATTGTTATAACTGATCAGTGACAGAGATAACGCACAAGGGTAACAATTCTTACATACCAGTCGCGAATCTAGAAAAAAAATTGGGTCTGTTTAATCAAACCATAGTCCATAAATAATAAATTTTCTTATACTATTTTAGTTATTTACAGAATTACAAATTCAGTTAATTTAATCCAGTTTGTGCAATAGAATAGAAAAGGATATAAGACCGTATTTAATTTCCTTTTAATTAAAATTAAAGTCCTAAGGCTACATGCATTTCTAAATAATTGTTTTACTAGACGTCTGCTTAAGTGAATGTTTTGTTTTGTAAAAAGTTAATAAATTCCAGTTCAATTAATGTTTCTATTTTTAATGCCCTTTCAAACCCACGTCATTTAGAGGTAATGAAGAAAATTATTAACAATTTCAATTAATTATTATTTTAACAAACTTGGTAGCACGCCGGTTTTATGATGTCGCCACTTTTGAAGTCCCGAATTCGATCACCTTTAAAAATAACTTTCCTATATTAGTCTCATTCTGGGACCCATTCTCTTCATATTGTATAGCGCGGATGTGATAGGTTGCATACGTGAGTGCAAGTACCATTTGTATGCGGATGACATACAGATGTACTACTCTTTCAGGCCATCTGAAATCACTACGGCTGAGAACAAAGTGAATGAGGATTTAGCAAGAATCTCAGCCTGGTCCGAATCAAATTGTCTAGTATTGAATCCTTGCAAAACTAAATTCATGCTCCTGGGTAGTAAAAGTAGTATGCAAAAGATCAATAACAGGCCTATATGCGTCCATATAGATGGTGTGAGAATAGAGCGGGTTGAAACAGCGAGAAGTCTGGGGCTCACACTGGACAGTCATCTTAAATTCGAGACTCATATCGCGGAGTGTGCCCGTAACTGTTTCTATAGGCTTAAGCTACTATATAATATTAGACAATACTTGTCCGAGAAACTGAGAATCTTATTATGTGAATCGTTAATTCTCTCTAAATTTAATTACTGTGATACTGTTTATGGTCCATGTTTAATGAAAAAGACAGCTAAACTTATTCAACGAGTACAGAATGCATGCGCTCGTTTTTGTTTCCGTATTCCTCCACGAACACACGTTACCCCTTATTTAAACTCATTTTATATATTAAAAATGGAAGCACGTAGGAAGGTCCATTTGGCAGCTCTGCTATTCGGTGTAATCCATTCAGGGAAGCCACAATACTTGTCGGAGAAATTGGAGCGGGCTAAGGGTTACAGCAGGTACCTGAAGAGATCTTGTACAATTTTTTTTCGAACTCCAAAACATCATACTGTAGCTTTCCGTGGATCCTTCAGGTTTGCGGCATCAAAGTGCTGGAATGATCTTCCACCTCCTATACGGGATCTAAGGACAAAGAAAATATTAACCACTAAATTAAAGAAACAATTGATGGATATTCAACAATCACAATCTTAGTCTAAAAACATTTTTTTATCTTTACATTTAACTTGTTAACCTTTTATTTTTAAAGCTTACCTTCTTCAGTCCCGGTGTTTATGGATAGTGGGTGATGAGCGCGGCCAGCACTTGAGGCTATCGAAGGATATGTGGTTACCTTTGCCCGTTGCCTTTCTACCTTTTTTCTCGCTCTAGTCGGGCTGGCTGGGTTCAATGATCTCCTTGTCATTTGTATATTAAAGACTACATTTATTTCAAGAACCACATGTTACTTTCTTTTCTCTCACTTGTAACGTGCGCTTAACTTGTTTGACGAAAAAGATCTCACTACAGAAAGTATTGTATTTTGTAAAATAATAATTGTATTTAATAGTATGTTATTAAATGTAATGTATATAATAGTATTTGTCGCGCACCAAACAGGTCCTGTCAGAATAACAGCGTTGACGCGGCACACATGTGTGTCACGACAACACAAGCTGAGGCAGGGTCCTGATTGACCTCTGTAAATGTTATTACTGTATTGTTTATTAATAGTAGTATGTTTTTTTTTTTTTATTGTTATGAATTATTTTTTGTGATGTATTTGTTTGTGTAATTGAGGTCAATAAATGTCTCTTCTTCTTCTTCATATTGTGTCGGGTCTGGGGGGTTATCGGGGGCTGGGTGTGAAGCACTGTCTGTTTGATCCCACGCTCTTCCTCCAAAAGTGAGGATACAGCGGAGGGCGTTAAGTTGGTAAGCCATCCGCGTTTTGACCAGCCTTTGAGCCTTGTGTTTAAGAGAGAGACCCACACACTCCCTGTCGCCTGTCAAGTGGCAGAGACAGTGCACAATGCTATATTTCTGTTGTTATTATTATTCTCGTCCGTATTCGGAAGGCATGTTAAGCCGTTTGCATCCTATTTGTTTGACACCCAGCAACCCGTATTACCCACGTGTGTTATAGATCTTTGCTCCCAATTAGAATACATCCAAAGTTCCCCTGCCATAGACTGAGGAAGAGGGAATTTAAGATAAGGATTATGTTGTAGTGCGGATTCATTACCTCAAGCAAAGATTGCGAAAGGTCTTGGGTTCGAATCCCATCTCAAAGTACCTAAGGTTGATGGATTTTTTAAGCATTGTTCATTAAGAATATTTTCCGGTATAGCCACAGCACTATGAATCCCAATTTGATCACAATGCTAATTAAATATATAGATTTATTAAATCAAATATTATCTGAGAGTAAATGCTCTGATCCCAAAGGCCCCAAAAATGATAATTGAGAGAAAGCACAAAATGGGCATTGCCATTATAGATAGTGAGTCATATGTCTACTTCAGACTCAAACGGTGCTTATCATTGCCTTTATGTAGGTAACTATTAATTTTCCAATAACAATTTATCAGAAAGCTCTGCATACGGCATACCTTTGACGAACAGAAAAACCCGAGAAAAATGAGTTTATTATTAAGAAAAGATTTGATTGAATAGATTCTGAATTTACTGAACCTAATCATTTTAAAATCCTTTCACCTACGGTAAGTTATGTCATGCGCGGGTGACATAGGTTTATTAATTTACGGAGACGAAATCGCGGGAAATCAGCTAGTATCATTTAAATTGATAATTCTCTTTCCCACTGTTGGGATTCCAATTGGTATTAGATTCTCTGATCACACAACCATCGTAGTCTTCATAATTATGTACCTATATTGACATAAATCGGTGGTTCGTCTCATTCTTCGGAACATTTCTTTATGAATATTCGAGACATAGATGGCATGACAAGTAGGTATTTCTCTATTATCCTATAATCTTATTCGTTAATTTATATTTTATTTTACATAATTTAATGAAATAAGTAACATTTTGGAAACGTTTATACAAAAAGCGAGCATCGCCGTCGAACATATGAACTCGTCCTTTTCGATTTTGAAGTCTGTTTTAAAGTACACCGTACGAGCCGTGAACAAGACGCTGTGGTAGGTACTTAGCTCAAATGGTGAAGAGGAGACTTAAGTAAGTAAATCTTATTTGTATTGTAGATATCCGTTGCAGAGTTGTTCGCACACTCGTTCTAAGGGTACAGTTCCCGGTCGAGTCCCGGGTTCGATTCCCGGTCGGGTCAGTGTAGAAAATGAACTTTTCTATATTGTCTCGGGTCTGGGTGTTGTGGTACCTTCGTTGTCTCAGATACTCCATAATAAAGTGGCATCTTGGAATCTGAGCAATACCTATGTGATGTTGTTTAATATAGGAGAGTTGTGACAATTTTTACATAAGGGTCTCTATCTCGCTTAAGAAACATTCCACAGTTATGACTCATGTGAATTAGTTTAGCGCCATTCCTTCTGTTTTCAAAACCATCACTAAAATTAATTAAAGTATAATAGTTTCTGAAAAAAATAACAAAATTCAAGTCCACTCCCCTTGTCACAACTCTCCTACTACCGAGGTAAGTTGTGACAGGTACCGAGGTAAGTTGTGACATCATTGTATTTAAGCTATAAGATATAAAAATACCATTATATACGACATAAATAAATCAAGCACGTTTTTTTATCAAATCAGTACTTTAATCAGTACTATAATAATAAATTTGACTTGGAAAACACACACTGAACATGTTTGCAAAAAGTTGTCCCAGTATTCTTGTGCACTGTACAAACTTAGTAGGATCGCGAATCAGTGCACGGTCCTTACAGCTTATCACGCGTACGTAGTTTCAACTGTTCGATACGGCATTATATTTTGGGGATATTCGACTGATTCTGTAACTGCCTTTAGAGCCCAGAAAAAATGTGTTAGGAGCATATGTCATTTACAGAGTACGGGTACCTGTAGGCCATATTTTATTAAACTAAATATTATGACCCTGCCATCAATCTATATATTCGAAGTTGGTATTTTTGTCAAACAGAATCAACAACTATTTGAAAATAAGACGAGATTGCGTCATCGAGACAAATTGTGTACGATACCCTCTAAGACAGCTGTGTTGAACAAAAGTATCTTTTGTATGGCTCCAAAAATTTTTGATAAAATTCCGAAAACAATACGTTATCTGGATAATTGTAATGTTTTTAATAGAAAACTTTGTAAATTATTAGTAGCTAAAGCATATTATAGTGTAAACGACTATCTAGCTGACAGTACTTTGTAAATGTATAAATACTTAATGAATTAATTGAATTTTTGACATAACATGTTATTGATTAGATTAGTTGACAATTACTAACCTACTAATATTGTATGCCTTTTAGGCAGATCACGGTGTAACTATTCAGTCCTTGCATCCAATATCTTTATATAACCTGCGATCAACAATAAAGATTGATTTGATTTGACTTGATTAATCATCTTTTAATACCTACCAACTAAAACAACATAGTATTAATATTCTCATAACAAGTAATTATAATATTTTCATTAACTTAATATGGTATCGCTTTGAGGTCAATCATATTATTGTTATAATTAGTATAAAATCTTAATCTAATCAGATTCACAATTATGCCAAACGTAATGCAGCTCGTCCCCAGTACAATCTACGTGTGCCTAGCCTTTGCATTCAAGGCTTTGGACCCACTGATCATTCGATCTGCTGTCTGCATAGGCTTTAAGGCAAACCAAATAAAAGCAATTATTTTCTGCATCTTCTTCATCACTTGTTCTATTCTTCTTATTAGTCTTCTTTGGTTTTTTAGGTTTCTTTATTTTTTCTTCGCTTAAGACATGCTTCTTAACATTCTTAGATTTTCAGTCTCTGTATAGTTATTTGTGTGTAAAATAAGTATGCGGTATGCCATTATACACCTTAAGTAGCTACTAACACAACAACAAACATCTAAAGTTAATAAAAAACATTGTAAAAATAGCCCAGCAGAAATATGGAGTAAGATAGGAGAGTTGTGACAGGCTGTCACAACTCGCCTAGGTGTTCAAAATGACGTCTTGGTCCGAATAATAATTCATATTTTCTAAACACGATGCGCATACAAAAAATCAGTGTCACGTATTGAGACTTAAATAACTACATAACTTAAGAAAAAATAACACATCAATGCACATATACTAAGATATGATATATATTCAAATAATATTTTGAAGAAAAACTTACTTTTCGCAATTTTTTGTACACTGACGATATATTTACGCAACTGTGCCATATGCACCGTCGACAGGTACTGAGTCGTGTAGCGCGTGTCGAGAACGACAAACAAGCGTTAAAGCCATCTCGCTTGCTATAATAGGTAGAGAGAAATCCTCCTTGTCACAACTCTTAATATACCTATACCTATTTAATTTCCAACTTCGTTAGTCTTGCCATCTTTGAGGTCCCAGGTTTGAATCCCGGTCCGACCGGGTCTTATTTTTTCGAGATTATTTTTCTCTGAATTATCTCTGTAATTCGCTTCAAGTGCTCCAAGACGTTACTTGAACTTGTAACCTTTCCCTAACTGGACAACTACTTTGAACTCAGTCTTAAGCATCATCTCGGGTCGGGTTTTTGTAAGTTAAATTTTATATAATACTAGTTACTTAAGTATTATCACTATTATACTACACACGTTCTTTTGTAGGCATTGACGATCAAGCAATATCTAGTTCAGTGATTCCTAAACTTTTCATGGTTGTTACCCCTGGCTATAGGAAAATTGTTTTTACCCACTATCCAAACAACTCATCGTGGTGTCTAACTGGAGGCCAGGGGTGCGAACGCCTCTCTAGCCAAATGCTACTTCATCATAGCGAATACTATGACAATATTCACATTTCACTACTTGCCATGTTTCATATTGCACTTTCGATAGATAAATGACTAAGTTGGTAACACTGCAATCAAATCTTCATAACACGGGGGCTTTATTTACCTACTCATTTTGGAATCTAAGCAATGTATAGTGATGATGTTTAGTATTATTAATCATTATACTTAAGTAATCAAAATTCTTTATTGTTACTAAAGTAGATGCCAAAGTCTTAAAATGAAGCGAAATATCGTCATAACTTCGCTAGGAGATCGAATCCTATGGCTAGAGTTGAGCGATCGCAACCATGGCCTCTCCTGCAAGATTTTAAAATCTAAAAATCAAAATGTTTATTCATTTTTTTAAAAGGTTAATAGATTTCGCCCATGTTTATCGTTTTACTCTCGCTAAAAGTACGTCTTCAACAATAATACATGTTGAGACGCTTTTTTACTCTTTTATTTTTGGTCTTAATTGTTAGGTTCTTTTTTACCCCCATAGAATAACTGATTCAACCCCTTGTGGGTGATTACCCCTAGGTTAGAAACCACCGATTTAGATAGTACTTAATTACTCCTTGCATTCCTAATGAAATGCGATATCCGATGCTTTACCAGAATGTTGATCATGCGGAATTGTTGAGAACCAATACAGATAGGTATGGAATCTATACGTACGTACAAGTAGGCACTAGGTACATATATTGTTGTTTTGTTTGCATCGACGTATCTATACTAAGAATCTAGAGACTGGAATGTATTTTTATATGGAGTTTTAGAATAACTTGTTGTTGAAAGGCTTGCTTTGATGTAAGATAAATTAAATTCAAGCATAAGTTATATTTTATTACAAATTATTTTAATTTATTGAATAAAATTTTAAAATTTTATTATTATTGCAATGGTGTAATTTGATTTTATATATTATTTTATATAATGAAATTCCATTCTATTATAATATTTAGTCAATATTTGATCAATTATCTTGTAGTGCTGTTTATATTCAGTACATCGAGGTCACTTTTTATTTTTATCTTATTTTATAAGTACTTATTTGTTTTTATTGATTATCAATGGAATATTATTAGAATAAATTGTGGCTTTCCCTTGGTGCAAGTTGGTTCGGTTTGTGCTGCTTGTGGGCTCGACGTCAGAAATGTATAATTCTTTTATTTTTTTTGTTACCTTCATTTGGTCTGTACTGTGTAGCATCCGTGTGTCAAAAAAGGAAAGGGTCTAAATTTGAATTTGCTTATATTTATTAATTTTTTGGATTTTATTTACCAAAACGTGAATCCATAAATATCAATGGAAAAAATCACGAAATTATCATGATTTTTTCCATTATCTGTTGCAATTTAACCTTTTCTCAGAGGAAGCTTTGTTGATTAAGTGAATCACTTTGTAGCCAACGTAGCATTTTTAGAATACTGAATTAGGAAGTTTCATGATGCTGATCTTATTATATTTCCATTCCTTTCCCATGAGGTCGAGGTTTCTGTAGGCTATTAACTCAATGATAGGCGTCCGATTTCAATAGCTTTTGAGATAAGTATTATAATTTTTTTAAAGTTCTATTTTATTTTTTTTTAAGTTTTTATTTCATGCTTATTAGTGATATTGATATTTTTTTATATTAGGTAGCACTAATATAAAAAAAAAAAATAAAAAAACACAACGCGACTGTAATATGCAGGCGATGCTCAATAATGATCACATAGTACTACTGAACCTCTTCCTCGCGCTCATGTTCGGTAGCGTGACGTCACATGCCGGCGAAATTATCCTAGCGAGCGCGAATTCAAAGTCCCATAACTTCTTTCCCCCTCTCAAGGCCTAATATAGACATGTGCGCACTGTGATATTCTTAAGTGCTGTTGAATGTACCGTTCATTTCAACAAATTCAGTCAACAAACAGGATTTTCGTTTTTCCGAATTATATTTGCAGTTAACTATTTTATCTTAGCAATAAATCGAGTTACTACAAAAATTGCACTCGATTTTAAGTCTTTAATTCATTGGACTGTTAATTTCAAAATTGATTGTAGTAATTTAGTTTTGCGTTACCATAATGTGTTGCCGTGAATATATGTACTTGTAATTAAGGTTAAAAATAACGCACCAAGATTTCGAGTACCAATATATTTAATTGGCCACTGGCTGAAATCAAAAATTTACATTTTGCTTTCCTCCACGTTAGTCGAGTGAAGAGTTGGCCCTGCCGCGCGATCTCTGCCAGTCAACTAATCATAAGGACACGTAAGGAACGCGGCAGGTAACGCGCGGCAAAGACATCCCTGTACATAAAATTGAAGGAACAACTTCAACAAAAAAAAAACAGGGTTATATTAAAATTATAATATGAAAATATTCAAATATCGACCGAAAATACATCCGGCCTTCTTTCTGTTTATTTAAATATGCACTACATTAACTTTATACATCACCAATTTCTTAAGTAAATTCAGTTTTTGTACAATATAAAAGAATCTTACAATATTATAAATCTATGCTCGCTCGCGAGTCGCGTATAACACGTCCGCGGCGAATCTCGATCTAACCGAGCGAACGACGAAAATAAGTGAAATCGTAACCGAATAATCTAAAATTATGGTAATTACGGTGATCATACAAGGGACTACACTATGTTCACGTTCAACATTTTATGTCAATATCATTATCTACGCTTAACCTAGCGTCCGCGAGCGGCCTCGGGCGCCCGCCGGCCGTCAACGGGTCTCGCGCGGCTTGTCCGACTTCGGCCGCCGGCCGCGCTTCCGTCCGGCGCCGGAACCGGACAGCGCCGCGCGCTTGGACACGCACGCGCGGCAGAACCAGTCCTCCGTCGCGCCCGGCTCCTCCGTGATGCCCACGCACACCCAGTGGTACCACCCGTCGCAGCCGTCGCACCCGATCATCGGCGACCCGTTGTCCGGCCGCCCGCACGCCGGACACACCCAGATCTTGCTGCCGTGCTCGTCCACGTAGAACGGCGTCGGCAGCGCGCCGTCCGCCGCCGCCGCCGCCGTCGCCGCCCCCGCCGCGGGCTCCGGCGGCCGCTCGCCGGCGTCGGCGGCGTCCTCCGCGTCGTCGAACCGCTCGCCGGCCTTCTTGAGCGGCTTGAGCAGGATGCGCTTGTACTTGGCGGCGGCGGCGGCGGCGGCGGCGGCGGCGGCGGCGGTTGCGGCGGTGGCGGCGGCGGCGGCGGCGGGCGCGTCGGGCGGCGGCGAGGCGGCGGCGCGCGGGCGCGGCGGGCGCGTGACGAGCGCGGCGATCTGCGCCAGCTCGGGGGAGCGGCTGCGCGAGCGCGCCCGGCCGAGGCGAGGCGCGTCCGGCGAGCGCGGCGGCAGCGGCGAGTTCGAGTTCGAGCCGAGCTTCAGCGTCAGCTTCGGCACGAGCCCGTCGACGCGCTCCCTCTTCTTTTCCTTCTTCTCCTTCTTCGCCTTCGCCTCCTGTTTGTCGTCCCTGTCCCTCCTCTTCTCGCCTCGGTCTTTGCTCTTGTCCTTTTTGTCTTTTTTCTTCTTTATCTTGACGCCGTCCTTGTCCTTTTTCTCCTTTTTGTGAGATCTGTCCTTCGGTCGCTTCTCCGAGTTCTCGTCCCCGTCCCGGAGATCCGGGGGCGGCTCGGCCGGCGCCGGCTCGGGTTCCGGCTCGGGCGGCGGCGGGGCGGCCGGCTCCGGCGTCGGCGTCCGGGCCGGGCGCGGCGGCCTCTCCCGCGGCGGCTCCTTCGCCGGCTCCGGTTTCGGCGGGTTCAGCTCGATCGTGATGTCCGGCTGGACGGGCGGCATTCTGTATACGCTCGCCTTGTGTTCCTTGCTCGACTTCTTGTGTTTCTGTAGAATGTTCGGAACGGTCGGAGATTTGTGCTCGCCGGGCCGATCCCTGTCGCGCGACATCGGGGATTCGATCACCCCTCTGTCGTCGTCGTTGTCCACGGGGATCACTTCCAAGCTCGGTCGACGGAGCATGGGGGGTATTTTCATCTGCGACCGCGACGAATGAGGGAAGGTGCCCATCGGCATCACGGGGTTGGGGAGGCCCCCGCCGAGGCCTCCGTGCAGAAAACCGTGGCCGGGTATCAGACCCGGTCCTCCGGCCGCCAGGGCGAACGGGTTCGTGAGTAAATTGGGATTCTGTAGTCCTCGTAGGGCAGGATTATTCGCGAGACCCGCGAGGAAATCGCCGCCTGGAATCAGACCGGGATTAGGAATCAATCCTGGCCCCGGCATTAGACCTCTTCCCGGAGTCATGCCGTGGAAAAATGGAAACGGAGGCATTGGTGGTATTTTTCCGTCGTTTTTCGGCCGACTTGATTTTGGTGGTTTCGTACTGCTCAGTTTCAAATTTTGTTTTTCGGCTCGGGCCATTTCAAATGCTAATTGCTGTTGTTGCTTTTTTATCAATTTTGCTTCTAGTTTTGCCGCTTTATCTTTTTTATCTTTATGTTTCTTTTCTTTCTTGATTTTTGGACTGACACTAGCTATATCTTTGGGATTATAGGGTAATTGCAAAGACTTGTTGATCGATATACTCGGTCGTGGTTCGACAGGATGTGGTTTTGAGGGTAGCGCCCTGTGTGTGTCCATGGAATCATCATCAATACTGATAACTTCGTTAGTCCTTAAATCCATAACTTTAGAATAATCTAATGCACTACTATCATTATTGTTAACGATAGATTCATCTGATTTTACTCTATCGTGCAATTTATTTTCATATGAATTTTCGTGTGCTGAATTTTGTAGCCTTGAGATCATATTATCAGACTGTAATTTTTCTGGTACAACCTCTGGAGTGCTTTTATCTTCTTTAGATTTGTTCGATATTCTCTTAAATATATTGATTTTTGATCTATCCGGTTGAGATGCTAACTTTTCTTCTTCATCTATTACCTCTTTTTTAATTTCTAAGTCAGGTATGAGGGAATTTGCTGAAGATTGTTTATGTACAGGGACAGAGTTTGCGATGAGTGGAGATTTTGATATTGGTATTTTTCTCGGTACGGGTATTGCATCTTCCCCTGCTTGTTTATTTCTGGGGATAAATGACGGCTGTGGTTGAAGAAGTGCCAGATCTATGGGCTCTTGTTTGATTACTTGTCGAATAGGCTCTGGAACAAGAGGAACCGGTGCTGGTGGAGGCTTTGCAGTCTTCTGAACGGGTGGCAGCACCTTGGGTAATGGCATATTCACATGATTTTGTAATGGTGGATGAACAGGGTGTGCATCCTTAGCCCTAATGGGAAAACCAGGAGGGTACTTACTTGATTTACTATTATCTTTTGATTTACTACTTTCACCTTTATGACTTTTATCTTTTCTTTTACTTTTCATAACTTTACCATTCAATAATTTATTCTTTTTAGATTTCTTATCACTTTTCTCTAACATTGGTACTTTCATTGGATTAGAATGATGTGAATTTGCTTTGTGTTTTTCATACTGTTTCTCCGACATTATAGTGGGAGGACGGGCTTCTGGCAGTTTCCCTTCTCTAGCCGGTGAGAGGAATCCTGACATTGTCATCATCACACTGCTGATTTCTCTAGTCCTCTCTTCCTCTTCAAGTCGTAACCTCGGCCTTTTACTATTTGGTAGTGATACAGGATCAATGGGTCTCTTGAATATGTCTTTAGGTTTTTCTGGACTATCAGTTACTGATATTTCTGGACTTGTACATGTTGTATTATTATCAGCACTATCTAGACCATTTTGACGAATTTCAACTGTGCCTGCAACCACCGGTGTATCCCTTTCCTTCTCAGGATACATAGGAGGGAGGTGTTCATGAACATGCATCGGCCTTGTAACCACTTCATGGCTGCCAGGCTTGAGAAAGTTCAAATTAGAATCTTTAGGTTTCGGGAACTTCTCAACATTAACAGGTGGAGGAACTGGTGGTACACTACGTGTGTACTCTACTAGCTCGGGCAATTGCACGTGAAGGTCACGAAAAACTAATCCTAAGTCATGTAAATTTGGTTCAGTCCTATTAAATTGTTCGGCGTATCTACTAGCTTGCGTGCCCAGTGACTTGATATATTTCTCCAGTACATGCACTAAAATATCCAGCGGTGTCGAGTTGATACCGTTCCATCCAATAGTTTGGCATATTTGCGCAACATTCCTCCGTAGTATCTCGCGGGCGAACGTCTCTGACATTATGACACCAACAAAGTTATCTGGAACAACCGAATTTTGTCAAATTACACCCTGGTATCCTTAAAGAACCAACTGAAAATATGTGAATAAAAACATATTCGTTAGATAAAACAACAGCTTTGCATGTTTTAGGAATTATAATAAAGCTAAAACAGTTGTTCTTGTAATTTTCATACCTGCAAGTGTCTAGTAGTACAGAGACGTGTTTGCGAACAGGTGGAAATAACAAGTTTGGATCACACATGTATGCTTCACTAAGGTCTTAAATATTCACAAGTAATTTATACAAACAAAAATAGCAATTACGATGCAAAATAATGAAGTGTTTACGTAAAAACTTCTCAACATTCTAAAAACACAGTGCCCCGTGCGCCATGATTGCATTTTGGGTTGTCAATGTCCGGTGTTGTCAGATTAAATAATTATAATGGCGGTACACTTATTATGCGTTCAGGTATTTTCAATTTCCCTTAATTATTTTATATGATGATAAAGTTTTAATATTAGTCAATAGATTTATTATCTATACTTAAATAATAAAGATTATCTATACTAATATAAGAAAATGTCATAATAAAAATCCTATTTAAACAGAAATTTAAAAAAATATAAACAAACAAGCAAACAGGACTTGTAGGTGTGGTAGGTTTTTAAAAGTTTATATCTTCAAAACTACTGAACAAATTTTTAAGAAGTTTGCAGTATTTCTTATTATTGATAACCTCCTTTTTTAAAAACAATGAACCATAAATATTTATTTAAGATTTCTTCATAAATCTATATGGGTTTCTAAACACGTGTTTATTATGTATATCATTTCGTATTTACGAGTAATACAAATTTTGTAAACTATTTTTCAACTTAAGGAACATAAGAAAAAAGTTATTGAAATACTCAAGAAACGAACTGCTTAGGTTAGGTTAGAACTGTGACCTCCAATATACCAAACTGCTTCCAGAATAGTGGATTAGATTAGGTTAGATAAAACTGCTGAAAAAGGTTAGAACTGCTACTATAATAAAAATGTTTATCTAGTAAATATAACTATGTTTAAATACAGATGAATGTGACCATTTATTATAATTTAGAAATAATATGGATCGGTAAAACTACTGTCACTAAAATATAAAAGTAAATAAAATAAAACTAAACCGACGTCAATAAAATCGTAATAAAAAGAAACAAATGAATAGAGTAATAATACCCCAAATTTTTGTCTTCCATAAAATCGAATTACAAATGGTGGTTTTTTGAGTTCCGTGCCAGGTATTTATAAAAAAAAATCATCGGGTGTAAGAGAAAAATGGATACTCTAAGATTAATTTTATTCTAAGGATATGCTTATATTTTCCAAATAAAAATAATTTTCTAAAATTTTAATTTTAAGGTCGAGTGCTTGTTAAAAACAGAAACATACATATATTTCATTTTAAATATGCAAAAAATACGTAGAAAAATGGGTTGTGATATTTTAATCTAAAGTACTAAAAAAAAAATGCATTTGTTTTTTTTTTCTGTGACTAAAAACTAGATACGTATTTATATGGGAACGTAAGCGGAGGTATAAGAGTGCCTTCATTAAGATACATTTTCTTTTAGTGCTGTTATACTTCTTATTTATAACATGGCTGGCGTATGAAAAATACCAATATTTTGTTTTAGTTTGTATGTATGTATACATCTATTTTAGGATCTATCCGAAATAACAAAAGTTCGATCACTTCTAACATCAAATGAAATATTTTTTTACCGAGCAAGTAGAACGTCTCTATATTTGACAGATTGTCAAAACTGCAAATGGTTGATGGACTTGTGATGTGCTTTTTTGTAGATGAATTTTTCATAAAATAACATTTTATATTAGAAAAAAACCAATATAGCAGTGTGATCAATTTAGTATTTATACTTTGTTAAGCTAAAATCTTCCATTGTTGGATCCGAAAAATCATTCACTTAAAGTCGAATATTGAGCCTGTGGTTCTTCATTAAAAACTAGAAAAAAAAAATAACAATTGCCTCTTAGTAATTATACTTAGTGTTTGCGACAATGACGACTTCTTCCGAAGATGTTTTGCTCAGCGTGAGCCATGTGAGGTTTAAAAAAGGTGATGGTACTTTGTATGTGATGAATCAAAGACTTGCTTGGATGTTAGAGAATCGAGACACTGTTGCAGTTTCGCACAAGTACGCAGACATCAAAAGTAAGTGGTGCTAGACCTATACGACAAATATAACGTACCTGTACCCTGTCAATGCTTGTCAATCAATGACAAATGTGAATGTCTTTGTTTATGGAGTATTACTTAAAATACGTAAACTACTCTCATTAAACTGATAATCACTTCATAACTAGATAGAAATTGGTTCTCATTTGGATTGCTTTTTTTCAGCTCAAAAGATATCACCAGCAGGAAAACCGAAAGTTCAACTTCAAGTGGTCCTTCATGATGGCACATGTTCTACATTTCATTTTGTGAACCCAGCAGGGGCTGAAGCACAAGCAAAGGATCGGGATCAAGTGAAACTGTTGCTTCAAGATTTGTTGCCAAAATTTAAGAGACAGATAGATGGTGAGCTCGAGATGAAGTCAAGGTAAGATCAAGAAATTTGGACACTATTATTATTATTATTATGAAGATAGAAGATAAATCTTGTAATATAATTCTTTTGCTCCACCTTAACTTGATTAAGACTTTCATAGTAAATTTTATGTACTTGTGCTATTTTTTGGTTGAAAAATAAGCTGAACTGAGTTAGTGATTAAAAATATATGAATCACCATCTCATTTAAGCCTAGTTTTCATGATTAAAACTATCCTATGTCCTTTCCTAAGGCCAACTCGATCTGTTTTTTAAATTTCATTCAAATTGTTCAGTAGTTAAAGTGTGAAAACATAATAGACTTGCATACAGAATTACTTTATTATATAACTATGGATAATTTTTTGACTGTACCTCATGTGTTCATAAGTTTTGACATGAAATAAAAGTTGTGTAACTTTTTTAATACTTGTATTCCTATAATTTTCAGTAGCCATTAAATAGATAATAATCAACAATAGAATATATATATTTAATACAATATGACCACCCTTGTTTTTAATATTGGCCCTTAGATGATTTGGCCACTCATCAATGGTGGCATGAATCTTTTCTAGCAGAATTTTCTGTGAGCAGAAGGGTTCACTTCAGTGACTCCAAATTTGGGTGAGACTTTTGGCAGGTCCTTAGCTCTAATTCAGTCCATAAAGCATAATCCAGTGGGTTGAGGTTGGGGCTGGAGGAGGGCCACTTGTTCGACCTGATGAAGGCCAGCACATTCACCTTCAACCAAGCTTGCTGAAAAACCCAATCCTTATTGTGAAATAACGTGACAGACAGGTGTATCACCACAGGCTGTAAAATGTCAGTCTGATAATTCTTGGTTTTCACTTTGACACCTTGTTGGCAGAAATGGAGCAGTGTGACACCTTCATAAGAAACTCCCCACCATACCATCACACTGGCCGGATGATGAGTGGGCGAGACATTCCATGCAAAAGCTGGGTCATCCTTGCTACTTTTAGTGTACACTTTACTGTTTTGTCAGTTGAACTTTTCTGCAACAGTAAACATTTTTAATATAAATTAATGAATTTGCGGCACAAATAAACTAATACTTGACATTCCAAATTCAAAATGGGTAAAAATGACAGCCAGTAACATTTAATTTTATTTTTTCACAAAAAAATTGTCTCAAAACTTATGAACACATGAGGTAAATTAGTACATTTTGATCAAGTAGTTCGCATACATACTCATCATGTTTTATTTATTAGATAGTTTTAAATAACCACTCAAAAACTATTTATGGATTATTTTCATTTTTTGTTTCAGATTATTGTCTCTACATCCTAACTTAAAGCATTTATATGAAGATTTGGTAATATCAAAAGTAATAAACAGTGAAGAATATTGGAATACTCCAACATTGAAACAATATACTGAATCAAATAATATAAAACAAGAAGCTGGTAGGTTATCTAATAAGTTTTCAATTATATCTGTTATGAATTACTTATTGCTACATTTAATATATGATGCCATTACTATGATATTTGACTGGCAACTTGTTGCATAAAAATAAAGTGCTTGAAATATTAGACTGTCTCTGGAGCTCAATTGGATGAGTCACAAATTCAAGTCCTGTCTCAATTTGCCTGGCCATTTGATTTTTAGGTGTATGTTTATTAATATATCTTGCAGTTATTCTTTTATTTATGATAATCACGTAATCTTATGTATTTTTTTTATTATATTTATACTCCATTTCTGCACTTGTGTATTATGTCATACTGCGATGAATGTCAGCAATTTATGAAGCAGTTTTTTATTTTATTTTTTGTATTCAGTCAAGACAGGCCAGAGACACTGTTATTGGTAGGATATTGTTGCATAGTAAGTAAGGCAGTTATATGTATTGTTTGCTTAACTATCTATTTACTTATCATAATGGTAGAAGTATTTAAACAACATTTACTTAGGGGTACCTAGCATTTAATTTCAACAATAATGTGCAGGCTTCTCTAGGGTGGGGTGTCTTACCTTGCCCCCCCCCCCCCAGGTTTGCATAAAATAAATTGAGTAGGTAGTTATGCAGAATAATAAAAAAATATGCTACCAATGGCATGTCAGATTACTAAATAAGGTCACACTTCTCTAATATTTTTTTTTTTTATTGCAGTTAAATTCATAATAGATTACAGAAATTTAGGCTTATTTAGTTACTTAAACTTAAAGAGCAATATTCTTAATGACAAATGCTTAAAAAATCCACTTGGCCCAGGTAGTCTTGAGATGGGACTCAAAGGTAATAAAAAAAATATAATTATTATTTTGTCTAATAGGTGTGTCTGGAGCATTCTTAGCAGATATTCAGCCTCAAACAGATGGCTGTAACGGTCTAAAGTACAATCTTACACAGGACATAATAGATGCCATATTCAAAACATATCCAGCTGTTAGGAAGAAACACAGTGACTATGTTCCCAACAAGATGACAGAAGCAGAATTTTGGACAAAATTTTTCCAGTCACACTATTTCCATAGGTAACCAATTAATGAAATTATTATAATTGTGTATTACATTTCACAATGTTATCTAATACTTGAAAAAGAAACCGTTTTGGTACCAGATTAGATTTGTTTTCAAGTATTTTTAAGCTAAACATGTAACTATATTTTCCTCATTTGGGTGTGAAATTCAATAATTTTTTCATGAACATGATAATGTTCACTTTAATCCTAGTATAAATCTAAATATTTCTATATAAGAAAATGAAATGACATTTGTTTAAATATTTGTTGAGGTTTAAGAAAAGTTTAAAAGGTGAGAATGCTCATAAATAAGAGAATATATTATAGTAGAGTTTATTGTCACAGGGACCGTATCGCATCGTCATCTAGCAAAGATCTGTTTGGTGAATGTGCGAAAATGGACGATAATGCAATAGCTTCGGCTATGAAACATACTACTTTAGATCTCACGGTAAGGAAATATTTATAGTTATGATAAATGGCCAGAGTCGAGCCAGAAGCAAGGGCACTACCTCCTTTTTCTCGAAACGCGTGGTTCGGCTGTTTCATTTTATAAGAAAGAAACTTAGTATAATAAAAAAGAGATAAACGGTCAATACATTTTTCACGTTATGTATTTGACGGTAGCGATTCGGCCGAGCCACATATTTTGAAAAAGGTGTAGTAGGTGTCTCAAGATATAAGAACAAAATATTTTTTAATGAGTTTCTCCAAACTTGATAAAAATTTACAAGCTTTTTACTCAGTTCGATAGTGATTAAGTAGGTATGATAGCTCTTTTTCCCAAAATAAATATATATTCGCGTATAGTAAGATTTTCACTATAAGTTATTTTTAAATAAACTTATTAAAAAAACTTATCTGTTAGAAGGAAGCTTTAAGCCGATGCTGTCAGAATTTTTCCATTACCAATTAAATTAATTCTACTCTTTTTGAAGCTGCGCAATTGGATTGACATATTCACTCGTACCTAAAATGCGATAAGTTTTGGAAAAAGTAGAAATAACACTTCTTGTTACAAGCATAAGTTATTAATCGAAACAAGAAATAATGTAATAGCCAATCTCGCGAACCGGTTTGTATAATTATTGAACAATAACTGTGATTCACATTTGTTTCAAAATCATAGCAATATATTTATATTAATAGATATTTTTTTATTTAGTTAAATTTAGATTGATAGATGACAAATGTGGTTTCTTATAATGATCCAACTGTGAGTAAAACGTTATCCAATCCATTTGGAAAATGTTTTAATTATATCAATAATTAATTATTATAACGAAACCGGCGTGCTTATAAGTATAAAAACTTCACGAAAAAGTCATATCTTCTACTCGACACTTACAACAATAACTCACATGCTAACAATATCTACGTAGTATTTTTGTTTTAAATAATTCGCTGAGGGAGTGGATGGGTGTGATGGATGTGCAGGTGGACCTGCCGCTGTTCAGCGAGGGCGGCGCGCTGGAGGAGGAGGAGCCGCGCGACCACGCCTCCATACACCGCAACATGATCAAGCGGTTCAACCAACACTCCATCATGGTGAGGCACTGTCGCTCTCAATTATGTTTTTTATAGTCAATTAATTATACTCTCAATTTTTTTTTAAACTTCTTTCTTGTCATAATATCACTGACATCTGAATAAAGGATTATATTTTTCGGATTTTTCTGTATTAAATATACGAACTTTTCTATTGAATCACTCTGTGTATTGATTGTCCTGGAATCTATGATATTCTTTATTTATATACTTTCGACTTCGTTTTCGAAGACGGGTAAAATAAATGCTCACCGAAACATTCTGTTCCTTTCGCAGGTGCTCAAAGCTAGTCATAAAACAAATTCTAGTAGTAGTAGTAGTAGTAGTAGCAATAAAACAACAAACAACAATAAAGTGGTAGAGAACGGAGTGAAAGAAACGAACGGCTCAGAGAAGAGACCGGCCGAAGACAACAAGGAGGGGCCGCCGGAGAAGAGACGGAGAATATTAGAGAAGATACACTACGAAGATCTAGAAGCCGGCGCCGACAATTCCGAGACGCAAGAATTAAAGTTGTCGAAGGTAATTTTTCTGACCGATCTGGGATCTAGCATATTCTTTACTAGAGTGGCGGCATCTGTAAGTAAAGTTTTTACAGCAATCGCACCGTTTCGTTCCCAGGTGGAGAGGTACCTGCTGGGACCTTCGACGCAGGTCAGCCCGAGCAGTTCGAACACAAATGCCCCCCCGCTATCGGCGCTGGCGTCGATATGTCAGGTGAGATCTTTTTGATCACTAACGCGGGGATAGAGTGTAGAGTGTGTACAGTGTACAGTGTGCACGTGTGTGTGCAGGCGTGGAGCGGCGGGCAGGGCGGGGCGGGGGCGCGGCCGCTGCGGGCGTGTATAGAGTGTAGAGTGTGTACAGTGTACAGTGTGCACGTGTGTGTGCAGGCGTGGAGCGGCGGGCAGGGCGGGGCGGGGGCGCGGCCGCTGCGGGCGTGTATAGAGTGTAGAGTGTGTACAGTGTACAGTGTGCACGTGTGTGTGCAGGCGTGGAGCGGCGGGCAGGGCGGGGCGGGGGCGCGGCCGCTGCGGGCGTGTATAGAGTGTAGAGTGTGTACAGTGTACAGTGTGCGCGTGTGTGTGCAGGCGTGGAGCGGCGGGCAGGGCGGGGCGGGGGCGCGGCCGCTGCGGGCGTGTATAGAGTGTAGAGTGTGTACAGTGTACAGTGTGCGCGTGTGTGTGCAGGCGTGGAGCGGCGGGCAGGGCGGGGCGGGGGCGCGGCCGCTGCGGGCGTGTATAGAGTGTAGAGTGTGTACAGTGTACAGTGTGCGCGTGTGTGTGCAGGCGTGGAGCGGCGGGCAGGGCGGGGCGGGGGCGCGGCCGCTGCGGGCGTGTATAGAGTGTAGAGTGTGTACAGTGTACAGTGTGCGCGTGTGTGTGCAGGCGTGGAGCGGCGGGCAGGGCGGGGCGGGGGCGCGGCCGCTGCGGGCGTGTATAGAGTGTAGAGTGTGTACAGTGTACAGTGTGCGCGTGTGTGTGCAGGCGTGGAGCGGCGGGCAGGGCGGGGCGGGGGCGCGGCCGCTGCGGGCGTGTATAGAGTGTAGAGTGTGTACAGTGTACAGTGTGCGCGTGTGTGTGCAGGCGTGGAGCGGCGGGCAGGGCGGGGCGGGGGCGCGGCCGCTGCGGGCGTGTATAGAGTGTAGAGTGTGTACAGTGTACAGTGTGCACGTGTGTGTGCAGGCGTGGAGCGGCGGGCAGGGCGGGGCGGGGGCGCGGCCGCTGCGGGCGTGTATAGAGTGTAGAGTGTGTACAGTGTACAGTGTGCGCGTGTGTGTGCAGGCGTGGAGCGGCGGGCAGGGGGGGGCGGGGGCGCGGCCGCTGCGGGCGTGTATAGAGTGTAGAGTGTGTACAGTGTACAGTGTGCGCGTGTGTGTGCAGGCGTGGAGCGGCGGGCAGGGCGGGGCGGGGGCGCGGCCGCTGCGGGCGTGTATAGAGTGTAGAGTGTGTACAGTGTACAGTGTGCACGTGTGTGTGCAGGCGTGGAGCGGCGGGCAGGGCGGGGCGGGGGCGCGGCCGCTGCGGGCGTGTATAGAGTGTAGAGTGTGTACAGTGTACAGTGTGCGCGTGTGTGTGCAGGCGTGGAGCGGCGGGCAGGGCGGGGCGGGGGCGCGGCCGCTGCGGGCGTGTATAGAGTGTAGAGTGTGTACAGTGTACAGTGTGCGCGTGTGTGTGCAGGCGTGGAGCGGCGGGCAGGGCGGGGCGGGGGCGCGGCCGCTGCGGGCGTGTATAGAGTGTAGAGTGTGTACAGTGTACAGTGTGCGCGTGTGTGTGCAGGCGTGGAGCGGCGGGCAGGGCGGGGCGGGGGCGCGGCCGCTGCGGGCGTGTATAGAGTGTAGAGTGTGTACAGTGTACAGTGTGCGCGTGTGTGTGCAGGCGTGGAGCGGCGGGCAGGGCGGGGCGGGGGCGCGGCCGCTGCGGGCGTGTATAGAGTGTAGAGTGTGTACAGTGTACAGTGTGCGCGTGTGTGTGCAGGCGTGGAGCGGCGGGCAGGGCGGGGCGGGGGCGCGGCCGCTGCGGGCGTGTATAGAGTGTAGAGTGTGTACAGTGTACAGTGTGCGCGTGTGTGTGCAGGCGTGGAGCGGCGGGCAGGGCGGGGCGGGGGCGCGGCCGCTGCGGGCGTGTATAGAGTGTAGAGTGTGTACAGTGTACAGTGTGCGCGTGTGTGTGCAGGCGTGGAGCGGCGGGCAGGGCGGGGCGGGGGCGCGGCCGCTGCGGGCGTGTATAGAGTGTAGAGTGTGTACAGTGTACAGTGTGCACGTGTGTGTGCAGGCGTGGAGCGGCGGGCAGGGCGGGGCGGGGGCGCGGCCGCTGCGGGCGTGTATAGAGTGTAGAGTGTGTACAGTGTACAGTGTGCGCGTGTGTGTGCAGGCGTGGAGCGGCGGGCAGGGCGGGGCGGGGGCGCGGCCGCTGCGGGCGTGTATAGAGTGTAGAGTGTGTACAGTGTACAGTGTGCGCGTGTGTGTGCAGGCGTGGAGCGGCGGGCAGGGCGGGGCGGGGGCGCGGCCGCTGCGGGCGTGTATAGAGTGTAGAGTGTGTACAGTGTACAGTGTGCGCGTGTGTGTGCAGGCGTGGAGCGGCGGGCAGGGCGGGGCGGGGGCGCGGCCGCTGCGGGCGTGTATAGAGTGTAGAGTGTGTACAGTGTACAGTGTGCGCGTGTGTGTGCAGGCGTGGAGCGGCGGGCAGGGCGGGGCGGGGGCGCGGCCGCTGCGGGCGTGTATAGAGTGTAGAGTGTGTACAGTGTACAGTGTGCGCGTGTGTGTGCAGGCGTGGAGCGGCGGGCAGGGCGGGGCGGGGGCGCGGCCGCTGCGGGCGTGTATAGAGTGTAGAGTGTGTACAGTGTACAGTGTGCGCGTGTGTGTGCAGGCGTGGAGCGGCGGGCAGGGCGGGGCGGGGGCGCGGCCGCTGCGGGCGTGTATAGAGTGTAGAGTGTGTACAGTGTACAGTGTGCGCGTGTGTGTGCAGGCGTGGAGCGGCGGGCAGGGCGGGGCGGGGGCGCGGCCGCTGCGGGCGTGTATAGAGTGTAGAGTGTGTACAGTGTACAGTGTGCGCGTGTGTGTGCAGGCGTGGAGCGGCGGGCAGGGCGGGGCGGGGGCGCGGCCGCTGCGGGCGTGTATAGAGTGTAGAGTGTGTACAGTGTACAGTGTGCGCGTGTGTGTGCAGGCGTGGAGCGGCGGGCAGGGCGGGGCGGGGGCGCGGCCGCTGCGGGCGTGTATAGAGTGTAGAGTGTGTACAGTGTACAGTGTGCGCGTGTGTGTGCAGGCGTGGAGCGGCGGGCAGGGCGGGGCGGGGGCGCGGCCGCTGCGGGCGTGTATAGAGTGTAGAGTGTGTACAGTGTACAGTGTGCGCGTGTGTGTGCAGGCGTGGAGCGGCGGGCAGGGCGGGGCGGGGGCGCGGCCGCTGCGGGCGTGTATAGAGTGTAGAGTGTGTACAGTGTACAGTGTGCGCGTGTGTGTGCAGGCGTGGAGCGGCGGGCAGGGCGGGGCGGGGGCGCGGCCGCTGCGGGCGTGTATAGAGTGTAGAGTGTGTACAGTGTACAGTGTGCGCGTGTGTGTGCAGGCGTGGAGCGGCGGGCAGGGCGGGGCGGGGGCGCGGCCGCTGCGGGCGTGTATAGAGTGTAGAGTGTGTACAGTGTACAGTGTGCGCGTGTGTGTGCAGGCGTGGAGCGGCGGGCAGGGCGGGGCGGGGGCGCGGCCGCTGCGGGCGTGTATAGAGTGTAGAGTGTGTACAGTGTACAGTGTGCGCGTGTGTGTGCAGGCGTGGAGCGGCGGGCAGGGCGGGGCGGGGGCGCGGCCGCTGCGGGCGGGGGCGGGCGCGTGTGTGGCGGCGCTGGGCGAGCTGTCGCCGGGCGGCGCGCTCATGCGGCACCACCACGCCGCCAGCATGGCGCGTCAGTACTCACTACTTTATATTTACATTTCACCTTGTCAATACATTCAACTCAGACGAGAGCAAAGCATTCGACTGCGTTACTCGTGAAACACTCTTGGGGATTACAGAGCATTACGGTGTGAAAAAATATTTACTTAATCTAATAAAATCATATCTTTCTGCTAGAATTCAAAAAGTAGTCATTGATGAAGCAAAATCTGCAGGGGCACCAGTTACTATGGGCGTACCTCAGGGATCGGTATAAGGACCATTGTTTTTTCTAATTTATATTAATGATCTTCCTCACTTTACGAAGAATTTGAGCGAAACAATATTATTTGCAGATGACGCCTCTTTAGTGTTTCAAATTGAGAGGGGAAATAATACTCTCGACAATGTTCTACAGTGGTTTGATAATAATAATTTAAAGTTTAATTCAAATAAAACGAAATGCATTAATTTTTAAAGAGCACTTATAAATGTAAATAATGAAAAGGTTGAGTTGGTGGAACCGACAAAGTTCCTTGGTATTACACAATGACGTATGGTCTTTTGTTGTAGGGTTTTTCGGCTAGCATTCAAGATATTTTTATTCTACAAAAGAGAGCTGTCCGCGCTATATTAATTTACGGTCTAGAAAATCTCTTAAAGAAATAAATATTTTGATTGTTGCCTCTTAATACATCTATGAAAATATTATGTACGCAAGAAAACATTACGATTCCTTCAAAAAAAAAAAGTAGTGTTCCTAATTTTAACACAAGAAATAAAACTAAACTTGCCGTTCCAAGTTTCAGACTTCAAAAAACCAGAGGATCATTTCTGAGTAAAATTTAAAATTCATGTAAAGAACATGCTTATGAGTAAAGGCTATTATAAAGTTGATGATTATTTTAAGGATCGCAATGCATGGAATTAATAGCCTTCGCTTTGCTCTATAAAGAGTAATTGTATGTTCAACCTATGTCCTGCAGAATTTGAAAGTTGTATTTATTGATGTGATAATTCATATTATTTTGGTAATGACATGATTTGTCTAAATGTCATTACTTATGATAAAGAGGTGGTAAGTTTCTTTCGCTCGTTCTTCTCGTCAGATAAAAGACGTCCTGAAGAATATGTGGGAGGGGAAAAAATTTTTTTTTTGACGATTTAAAAGTGCTCGTAATAGCCTACTCGAATAAAGATATTTTAATTTTCATTGTAAAAACGAC